TGGGAACCCATTCGAGCGGAATATTTGAAACTAAGTAAAAAACATTTCGATACCATTGAGATTCACATCATGACTCCTTTAGGGACTCCCATGCCCTTTGTAAGTGGCAAATCAGTGGTGAAACTTCATTTCAGAAAAGTCTACTGAGATGAATGTACCGTTATTGTGTTCCATCTTATTGGGTGTGGTGGCTTGTCTGGTCTGCTGTCTGTATTGTATTCAGCCGTAAAAGGGTATAAAAGGAAGTCCCCCGAGGATATAAAGGTCAGTTGAACAAGAGACATGAACCATGCAGTATCATCCCGGATTACTGAGACAAAGAGGACACAGTTGGACTTATCATAAAGGTTTATTACGTCAAAAAGGCGGAGCAGTAGGTTCTATCATCTCTGCATTGGCGGGAGCCCTTCCCTTGGATAATCTATCGGGAACTCCTATTACAGGATTACTCAAATTGGGTAGAATTTTAAAAACTCACATGAAACCTCAAAAAGGAGGAAATTTTTTAAACTTCCTCTCGGCAGCAGTCCCTAACATACCCCTACCAGGCACAGACTCAGGTTTGACTTTAAAAAACGCGGCCGAGTTAGCCATGGGGTTACAAAAAGGTCGAGGATTTGTCAAAGATCTACTCAAACATGGGAAACAACAAGCCCTCATGGCCGGAGTGAAGATAGGCAGAGATGTGGTGGGAAAAAGAAAAAACATCAGAAATGCTCTTTTAACCCACGGACTCAATGCGGCCAAAAATACAGGTCTATTTGCTTTCAATCGAGGAGTCTCTTTACCCTTTAGAAAGAAAAAGAAGAAGAAAAAAGGACAAACAGGTCAAGGAAGAAGAAGAAGAAGAAAGCAGACAGGGAAAGGAAGAGTCCTGTTAGCCCGAGGGGGTCCTAAGAGAAAAAGGAAAAAACAAGGAGGAATTCCTAAAAGAAAACGTCATTTAGATGTGTTTGACTGAGAGAGAGAGAGAGTATAAATAGGACAGTCCAGGGAACAGAAGGTTCATTTGTGAAAACTGAATCCTAGTAGACACATCATGTTACAGCCCGATTCCTGTGCGTGTGGGATGAACAATTTAGAATTGTTTCAAGTCCCTCCGACTAATATTGCTTTAGAAGACTCGAAATGGGAAGAATATTACCCCATTTCCAGTACTTTAGATTCCGACACCGCTCCCATCGAATTTGAAATCAAAGGACAAGGAGATCACTATCTGGATTTATCTCAAACTTATGTTCAAATGGTATGTAAATTTACCAAAGACGATGGAAGTAATCTGACTGGGGCGAACAGCACTTCCAGTCCCGTGAATAATATCTTACATTCCATGTTTACGGAAATCGATGTCAGTCTGAATGGAAAAATAGTGACCCCAGGGACGGATACTTATCCTTACAAAGCTTATCTGGAGAAATTATTGTCTTACCGACCCAGAACTTTAAAGACACAGACGAGGGCCTGTAGTCTGTGGGAAAAAGATACGGCAGGACACATGGACGAAGTGGGGTTAGAGGCTCTTGGTGTAGCTCAAAATAAAACCTTTGATGTAACTCCGGGTCAAGATGGTGGGGCTGACACGGTGACCATTAACCAACCCATCCTCACAGCGTTACCGGCTAATTCTAAAAACGAAGGATTCCGAAAAAGACACCAAGCTATTGCTGACAGTAAGAAAATCAGTTTGCTGGATACTTTACATTTGGATTTGTTTCAACAAGATCGATTTCTACCCAATGGAGTGGACGTCCGTTTGCGATTTAATCGAGCTAGACCCTCTTTCTACATGATGATCAAAGGAGGAAGTACAGGAAAAGTGAAAATATTGAGTATGATCTTGTGGGTGAGAAAAGTCAAACCCACAGCAGTCATGATGAATACCATTAATCAAAGTTTGAATACCCACAGAGCCAAATATCCCTTGAGAAGAGTGGAAGTGAAAACCTTTACCATCCCCATAGGGACCCAGTCTAAGATTACGGATCATCTGTTTCAAGGTCAGATGCCTAAACGTCTCATTTTAGGCTTTGTGGAGAATGCGGCTTTCAACGGAGATAAAACTAAAAATCCCTTTCATTTCCAAAACTTTGGGATTAAGAAATTAGATGTCAGTATCAACGGAGAGACCATGAGTACTCGTTGTTTTGAACCTCATTTCAACGAGGATTTATATTTGAGATCCTATCTCAGTCTGTATCAAGCCCTGGGAAAATTAGGAGAAGATTGGGCTCCGGACATTACCCTAGAAGAGTATAAAAGCGGCTACACTCTATGGGGCTGGGATTTCACTAAAGATCAAGAAGCGCAATCGGATAAATTCCACATCATAGAAACAGGAAATCTGAGAGTAGAAGTGCAGTTTACCAACAATACGGTTAACACCATCAATTGTGTGGTGTATGCAGAATTCGATAACTTATTAGAAATTAACAAACAGAGAGAAGTGAGCATTGATTACTAATGGATACGGGACAATTGAGAGAAGTCTTATCCAGAGAATTCAAGAGTTCTTTTGGAGGCGTGTATCCTGTAGATTTATTACCGGATCAATTAAGACCTGGAGAAAAAGCTGTCGTGGTCAATACGGATCCTCAAGATCGACCTGGAGAACATTGGGTGTGTCTATATGTGAGCAATCCCGTGGTGGAATATTTCGATTCTTATGGATTTCCTCCCTTACAAAAAGAAATTCAAGATTTTATCCAGCGTCATGCTCAGCAATGGATTTATAATCCGTATCGCTATCAAGACTGGAATACCGATGTGTGTGGACAATATTGCGTGTATTATTTACATCAAAGAGACAAGAAAAGAAAGAAAACCGACGAGTGGCTATTCCCCTTTGACCAGAGTACGGCTTTACAAAGGGACAGATATGTAGCGAATTGGTTTAAAAACACTTATCATAAATTACCTACGGGTCATGGACAAAAATGTCAATGTTTTTATCAAAATGTATTGTAAATGAGTTGTTTGTTGTTGTTTGTTTGTTGTTTGTTGTTTGTTGTTAATAAAAAATGAAAAAAAAAATCGGTGTTCTTATTATTATTTATGTGTTAGTGTTTTCAGTATGCAACAGGGTATAAAAAAGATGATGCAATAGATATCAAAAAGATGATGCAATAGATATAAAAAGATGATGCAACAGGTATAAAAAGATGATGCAATAGATATAAAAAGATGATGCAATAGATATAAAAAGATGATGCAACAGGTATAAAAAGATGATGCAATAGATATAAAAAGATGATGCAACAACTATAAAAAGATGATGCAATTCAAGGTGAGGGGTATAAAAACAAGGTGTTAAAGACGATCCTCCTCAGTTGGTGGGGCATGTGGTTGAGTGAACGACAGTTTGGCAAACGAATTCCTAGAATATTAGAAGACATGGAGATGGATAAAGATAAATTTGCCTTATTAGAAAAGAGAATGACGGAACCTATGGAGGGGGATCACGAAGCTCCTCAAACAAAAAGAAGAATAGAGTTGAAAACCTTGGATCCGGAACTTAAGAATGAATATTTACCCCTGGATGAGCCTGTGAAGGATCCTAATGATCCAGACAGAAGTTACCCGATAGCCATTAATTGGACTTTCACCATTAAAGAGCCTAAAGAAGAAGAAGATATAGACATGTTTCTGAGCAACAAAGACGATTTCTTCTTTGGTTACCAGTATTTGATTATACAAAAGGAAAGACATCCCTGGACAGGAGAACTGCATCAAATCAGGGGATTCATTCAAATGAAGGAACCAGAAGGAGGACTGACTATGTGCAGACTTCATATCGCTGCCAGATTTGCTATGTCTCACAGTACCCCAGAACTGGAAAGTATGTTTTACAAGCAAGGAGGTGACTATGAAGAATATGGTGTTCTGAAACCTGAGGAGAGAAATAAGGAATTGGAGCCCAGAGATTGGATAGAATGGGAGATAGGAGCTTGGAAGAAACCTGAAGCTATTGCAGCCAGAGAAGCTAGGAAGAAAAAGTTCTTAAAGAATGTGAGCTGGTCAAGATGTGAATAAAAAATAAAAATGATTTGAACTGTTATTTATTGTTAGATCTCAATAAAAAAAGAAAAAAAATTGTGGGTTTTTTGTCATTTTTAAAAAATAGATTATCTCCCTTTAACCATAGATTTTTTTTCAAAACACCAAAACAAAAAGTGTTGAGGGGTTTTTTAAAGATTGATAAAAATTGATCCAATTTTTTTAAAAAAAGTATAAATAGTAAACATGGTACAAAACACACCTCAGTTGTGGACTGGTTTCATTATGGGTAACACCTCCAGTAAAGAAATGAGTCAGAACACTAGATTAAAGGAAACTGAATGGTTACTTATACAGGAGGGAGGAAAAGATAACATACCACCTCCGTTGATGGTAGAACATCCTGCAGTATTTATACCACCTCCCTTGATGGAAGAACATCCTGTAGAATATAAACCTCAGGAGGAGGAAAAAGAAAACATAAGACCAAATAAACTCTTGGAGGATATTAAGGCTCATTATCAAAACAAACAGAAAGAAAATACAGGCAATGGATATATTGCTTACTTAAAACAAGACAGAGGTAGAATAGCCAATAATTGGATATATTTAATTTAACTGGGTGCAGACAGGAAGATGTAGATCAAATCATTGGAAGTGATTATCAATACTTGATCTTACAAAAAGAAATGCATCCAGAAACTGGAAAACTTCATCATGTGAGAGGATTCATTCAAATGAAAAACAGAGTTCAAGGGAGATACATGTACAGAAAGATTCATAAATTAACCTGTTTTGAGATGTCTTACAGCACCCCAGAATTGGAAAGAACTTTTTATAGACAAGGTGACTATGAAGAATATGGAGTTTTAAAACCTGATGTGAGAAACAGAGAATTAGTTCCAAGAGATTGTAGATTTACCTGAATAAAAAAAAACTTCTTTTATTGTGTTGTTGTTGTTCTATAAAAACAAGGGTGTTTTTAAAAAATAGATTCATTTTACATCATGAGTCTCCAGGAGATACAAGGTGATTTACTCAACTGTGAGGTAGAAGCTATTGTTCATCAATGTAATTGTTTAACTATAAAAGCTCATGGATTGAGTCAAAGTATTGCAGAGAAATTCCCACAAGCTAATCTCTATGCCACTCGAAGACCTCTAGGGACTAGAAATTTAGCCGTAGAAGAAGATAGAGGAATTCCAGGCACTATTAAGGTGTTTCCCTCACAAACTCCTGTGGTCATTTGTTTATTAGCTCAATGGGATTATGGAAAAGCAAGTCACCGATCTAAAAGAATTTCCACTTATCAGGATATCCCACAAAACAGAGAGCAATGGTTTCAAGCCTGTTTACAAGAAATGGGGGAAAGTTTACCTTACCAGACTTATGCTTTTCCTTACAAGATTGGGTGTGGACTAGCCCGAGGAAATTGGATTCATTATAGACATTATATTGAACAATTTGTACACACTTATGAAAAACATGTGTACATTCTTCATCATTAATTGTATGTGTTTTCATGTGATGTAAAATTAAAAAAAAGTACCTTTTTATCTGTCATACTCTGTTTTAAACAGGAGATGAAGGTCCACCGCAATCCCCATGCACTCATAAGCAGATCTCTGGTGGGGGGTCAGTAGAAACACTCAAGTAGTTTTCTTTTCTTTTCCCCTGTGATATAATGTCAAATATTTAAATGGAAAATTCAGAAATTCATCAGCACTAAAGATAAAAAACTTGTTATCTTTATGGTATTGATTTCCATTATCAGATGTTTTTTATCCATTTTTTAAAAATATAAAACATTTAAAATAATTATCTTAATAATGATTAAATAAATTAAAATGATATTGAAACTTCTTTTTAGATTCAAGTTTTTGTTTTTATGTTAGTTATTTCACTGTGTATTTCCCAAAGGAATTTGGGCAGCCAGCACGCTTCACTTCACTTAGAGAATGGATTGGTTAGGAACAAAACATATCTTCCAGGTTTGAGGACTGTATAGAAAAATAAAACCCATTTGTGTTATTATGAAATTACATGAGACAATGCCTCTTATAAATGTAATGCAAAAATAATATCTCTTATATATATGGATTCCTATACTCTAATCATATTAAATGTCATTTGTAAAAAATGTATTTTATTTAAAAGACAGATTTTATTTAAGATCTACTTTTAAATGATGACATGAATAGCAGACCATACTTTAAGCACATGACAAAAACATTTTCTCAAATTACACAGAAATGGATTATTTAGCATAGCTGACATGAAACATATAGATGAGGGATAACATAATCACAATTATAAACAATGTGAAACAACTTTAAACGACCTACAGGGTAGATTACAAGCCTTTTTCACTGGGGTAAAATCTCGCCGAAATTCGCTATGGCCGCCGATCTCGAACCCGACTGTATAAAGATGAAGTCATAAAAATAACATAACACTGATATAGTATTTTTTTTTTTTTTAATTTATTTCTTATAAACTAACAATGCTTCTAACTGTCGAATTCTCCTCCGAAATCTTATTCGATCCGCTATTAGGGCCATCCAGGGACTTCTCCGGTCTTCGGGGGGTAATTCGTAGATTTGATTGAGGCTGGTATTAAAAGTCACGGATTTCCTAGCCTGTGTGAAATTTCCAGGTATTTCATTCCGTATTGAATACATACTTTCTCCATCGCATCTATGTCCTGCCACAATAAAATCACTTTGACCGCTTGGGGATGGGTCAGGAAACTGTAAGGCTTTCCGAAATAAGGGGTCAGGTTCAGTCCGTACCATTTCTGGGGTAGAATTGTTTTCATATGTCGACATAGAAAATGTATGGTAGCTAGTCTCCCCATGGTCGTCGCATGATGTGATAAGGCTAGGCATTGTAACCATAAATCCTGAAGGGTTTCCATGATAGTGCTCGCTTCCTGAAATACTTGTTCTGCCTCCGGGGGTAGAGATTCTTGGTGGTTTTGTGCCCATCGTACTAAACAATCATACCCATCTAAAATCAGAGAGTGAGTGTGTATCAGGGTTGACATGATAGTCGATTGTGAAGAAAGGACCAGATTTTTCTTCTCATTTATACCCCCAGTAGAAAACGTAGGTCTATCGTATATTTTTTGCACACGGTCCCCCCTTACAGGTGATGCAACAGGTATCAAAAAAAGATGATGCAATAAGTATTAAAAAGATGATGCAACAAGTATAAAAAAAGATGATGCAATAGATATCAAAAAGATGATGCAACAGATCTAAAAGATGATGCAATAGATCTAAAAAGATGATGCAACATATGTACTGAATTGACCCGGCTATCCTTAGAACCCCCTATCCCCTCCAGGGCTGCACTCCCTTGACCCACCTATCCCCCCCCCCAAGGGTGCACTCCCTTGAACCCCCTATCCCCCTCAGCCCAAAAGTGCACTCAGTTGACCCAGCCATCCAGGCTCCTTATACTACTTATATCTTACGGATTTCTTATCCTCGAGCATGTTTTAATACTACCTGTATATGTGAAGTACCTTAAGGAGGCACAGTGACGCAAAAACGGGGAAAACCTCTGCATGGCTCGTGAATATTTGTTCAATTCATGAAATTATTAGGTTAAAAATAGGCAGATTTCAGAACCTAATAAATCTAATTTTATGTCCAAAAAAAAAAAAAAATTATTGTCTGGCCTAATTCGCGCCTCCCTCCTGATAGTACGTATGCGCAGAAAACATAAATTAATGTGGCCTTAAGTTCCAAGAAGTGGATTTTCTGTAGATCGAGGATTTTAATTTGACAGAATCTTCGGGAAAAAACATATTCCTTACCTCAGCATGTCCCGATTCAGTGTTGTATACGATGTAAATAAAAATAAGTTAATGCAATCTGTTTTTCGGCACTTACATATTGCACTCTTTGCTAGCTTTACAGTGTAGTACAGTTTGTCAAAACTTAGCTATACTCCTATTTTTGTTTAAACTTTGGATTTATGATACAAATATTATAAAAGTAAAATATGATTATGATTTACTGTGTCTCTTGAAGGGTAAAGGAGATCATTATAGATGGTCTCCTAAAACCCCATTAAGCTTTAAACGGTAACATATGATAAATAAATTGCGGGGGTGTTGTTAGAAACAACCTCTGAATTTCTTGAAAGTTAATGAAGAGAAGAGTGTTGTCTTCATTAAATAAAGTATTGGTTAACAGGAATTTAGAACGCACACACGCCTCTACATGTATGACCATTTTAAAGTTACCATGTAATACAAGTTGTCGTTCCTGCAACGCTCCCTCAAACACTTTTATACAACAGTGGCGGATCCAGAAATTTCAGAACGGAAAGGGAGCGCACCAGAATTTTTCCCTTTATAAAAAAATCCATGCTGTATAAACACAACATAATTATTTCGCAGGGTGTCACTTTTTACCAACTTACCTGGGAATATGTCTTAGGTCATTTTTTGTTAATTTACTACATAAATTTTAATAACTCTGAAACTCCTATCCAAATGCTGCTGGATTCTGAAAAAAAAGCCGTACATATTTTTGTGTTTTTGGATATATACATGTGTATGTATTTTTTGCATAAATATTTGGTTTACACTTCTTTAAAATCAATTATCCATATACATATGTACTGCAGTCCTAAAAACAGCCTATTTCACCTCAAAACTACATCTGAGATGAACTTCTCCATGGTTGATACCTAATACGTAAAAACTTCACTATAAAAAAAATCATGAATTACTACAAAAGAAAACAAATGAAGATATGCAAGTTAAAAAGTTATTTTATTAACTATTTCTTTATCTTATCTTTATACTGGCTCAGGTAAATGGTGTTGCATTTAAATAAATACAAATTTCAAAAGTTGCTGATTTATCGAAATAATTATACTTTGAAATAATTATTTGGGAACATTCGCTTTTCCTTAGTCTAGTCCACAAACCTGGGACTTCTTTTTCAAAACAATGAAAGGGCGGGGTGGGGGGGGGGGGGGGACAGTGTGTTTACTGAAGAAATATATTGTAAATACAATAAAAAAGCTAAATCTTTAAAGTTAAATCTAATAAAATTGGCACTAACTATTCCTTTCTATTTTACACGTTTTTTTATTGAATTTAATATGGCGTCTTACAACATAAAAGTTCGGTAAGACACGCTTATAACAAAGTGCCAGGGATGAAGGATTTTGCTTTGTTATAACCGTAATTCGTTATATCTGTTACGATTACAATATATTTTAAAGTCATTGGGAATTAAAATCACTTTGCTGTAAGCGTCAATATTCATTATAAGCGCGTTCGCTATCAGCGTGCACTATGGATCTTTTGGCTGACACATGTTTATAACAAAGACAATGTCAGAAGATTTTGTTTCACATAAAAAATTAAATTTAGTTAAAAAAGGGAAAAAAAGTCCTTAAATTCATAGCACGTGTATACATGTATTTGAAATATATAATTCATGTACGTTGTATAATTTAAGTTTTAAATATAGTATCCAAGTAGTTCGATGAATTGCCTGTATGATAAATTCTTTACGTTTATACAGTTGACAATAAACACTTTTTCGTTCATTAATGTATGCAAGTACATATATGTAACGTACTTCAGTCACTGTTCAAAACATCGATTTAAAGCCTAATCAGCTTTCCATAAACAATTTTCAAAAATCTAAACCAAAAACGTTAGGGGGAAACCCTACTATGGGGGAAAATCTGCTATGTAGTAGCTTTTCTCCCTAGGGGGAAAAACTACTATATAGCCAGTTTTCCGGGGGGAAAGCTACTATGGGGGAAAAACTACTATACAACACCGTTCTTGACGACAAGGACTTACAACAACCAATGTACATGTACTATTTCCAAAAAATCAATAAAGTATAGCTGATTATGTTTGACTGACTATTAGACACATAGCAAATTTCATAGGTATCAATTTGGGGTTAGTTTAATATGTTTTAAAGAAACATTTGACAGTAAAAAGCTAAATACTCAATGGTCACCCTATGTTTTGAAAAATGAGTGAAAACGACAAAGTGTAAGAATATCTAAACAATTATCTAAAAAACCAAAAAAATGTACTTATCCACGTTTGTCTGAAATTCAAACAGACAATGAAACTTGAATCCATTGCTTTAAACCCTCAAAACAAATTTACAAAATGATACACTTGACAAAAACAGCAGAGACTTCAGAAGAGCAAAGAATTGCAAAAGCAAAAAAAAAAAAAAGCAATTTATATGCTATTAATTTAAATATTAGTGGTCTTGTTGTTCAAATTCTTATTCGGGGAGGCAGTTCAATTTCTAGAGAAGTCTAGAAAGCAACAACAAAAAATCGAAAAGTTTGTGAGAGGAAGGAACCGGAAACAAATTTCTTCATGACAGCATCCAAACCCTCACTCAGGCCGTGAAGAGTCAAGGATTTTGGGGGATAAATAGAAAGAAAATGTTTTTTCATACCAACAATATTCACCAGATCATTTCTACCTTTGTCTTCATTTCCTAAACTTGTAAAAACACCTTTCAGGAAGAAGAAACAAGTACAGAAAATCATATGATCTGTCATATTCCAGTATACGAAAGGCCATACTCAAAAATGTGTTCTAAAAACAATCAGAAATTGGATAAAATGTTACAGACATATACTTTAATTAAATGATAATATTTAGTTGAAATCATTAAGAATAATTCATTGAAAAGGGTTTTTTCATTTCTTTCCAATCACTGAGGACATTATTAATTGAAAAGCCCTCGTAAAAGGTCTACAGTAACAGTAACACCAGACTTTGGTCAAATATCTTATCAGCTCATTTTAGACCAAGTTTTATTAGCTCACCTGATCTGAAAGCTCAAATGAGCTATTCTGATCACAATTTTTCTGTAGTCCGTCTGTAAACTTTTAACATTTTCGACTTCTTCTCCAGAACATCTTGGCTAATTTCAACCAAACTTGCCACAAAGCATCCTAGGGGGAATGGGATTCAAGTTTGTGCAAATAAAGGGCCACGCCTTTATTCAAGGGGAGAAAATTATGAAATGGTGAAAATTTGGTGGCATGTTTTAAAATCTTCTTCTCAAGAACCACTATGCCAGGAAAGAGGAAACTTATTGGAAAGCATCCTCAGGTAGTATTGATTGAAGTTTGTTAAAATTATCACCCCAGGGGTAGGGCGAAGTTTTACATAGAAATATATAGGAAAATTCTTTAAAAATCTTCATCTCAAGAACAACAAAGCCATAATTGTTCATATTTATATAGAAGCATCCTCAAGTAGTGTAGATTAAAGTTTGTCCGAATCATGACCCCCGGGGGTAGGGTGGGGCCACAATGGGGTATCAAAGTTTAAGATAGGAATACATAGGAAAATTCTTTAAAAATATTCTTTTCAAGTACAAAAAAGCCATGATTGGTCATATTTATAAGAAAACATCATCAGGTAGAGTAGATTTAAGTTTGTTCAAATCATGACGCCCGGGGATAAGGAGGGGCATAAATAAAAGAACAGACTTGTAGGGCAAAAAAGCCACAGCAAGTCTAAGAAATATGTAAGCATCCTTTGTAGGTTCAAGTTAACTCAAATCACCCTTCCTTCTGCCTTTTACGGGTTGGTTGTGACCACATGTATTCAAGTTTTTCAAAACTGGATTGACTTTTGCTTTTTTTTCCTAGCCACATTGCTCAGGTGTGCGATGTGGTTCATGGGCCTCTTGTTACTTTGTATATTAAAACAAGATGATGAGTCTTACGTGTACAATGGTTTCCCTGTTGTGACAGGACTGGTGTTAGGTTGCTGGATATCACTCCTGGTGGTCATAGTCCACACGTATCCAGCAACAACTCGCAAATCTATTTAAAAAACATTGAAACATTGAGTTCTCAAAAGAATGGCTGGGTAAAAACAAACAAACAATCTAACAAGCAAACATTTTTTTTAGATATAGCTTAATGACAAAGAACAACAATATATAAGATATAACTTATGTACTATCTGAATTTGTTAAGAGTGGTGTTCTTTTATATTACTTAACGATGAAAGGACCTTCTCTTGGAATCGTATAGTCAAAGATCCTCTCCCCTTGTTCCCTATTCTCAGACACGCTTGCTCCTGTACATATATAGTTTACTGTACTAAAAGACTTAGAGGTCGAATTACAACCCGACGTACATCTCCAGAAGGTACTCTTCATTCCAGTAACCAGGGAACCTATAAACTATTCGCAATCCCAACTTGAATGAGAACTGGGCCTGCAAATCGTTTAGGAAAACTACAATTTATGAATATAAATTACCTTTTGTTTAAATAAACAAAGTACTGAAGTTTCCACAGTTTCTTTGTCTGTTCACGATTCGTTTTGTACATTCTTTGTCTGTTCACGATTTTGTTTTATCCATGTCTTTGCCTGTTCACATTTTGATTTTTCCACGTCTTTGCCTGTTCACAATTTGATTTTCCCATGTTTTGCCTGTTCACGATTTGCGTTGTTCACTGGATTTTTGAGATTGAACATTGTTTTTTATCTTCACATTTTCCATGCTAGTACGTCAAAGGAAAATTATTAGTACAAAAATAAATATCAATCATGTCCAGCATTTCCCTACTCTATTATTTCTTTTTTACATTATATTATAAAAGAAATTTTAAAATTGCAAAGAAATACCACTCTAAAATAGCAAATTGTATTTTGCCTTTCAAACTATTCGCACCATAGAGATCTTGAAAGTAGTTGTTTTGTTTAACTCTTCTTTTATTATTTTGTAGGTGTATATGGAGAACATTGGCTCGGGAATAAAATGATACACCGACTGACAAATCAGGATCACTACACACTTAGAACTGAGATGACGGACTGGGATAAAAACCGTAAATACGCTGAATATAGCACGTTTGTAGTTGATGATGAAGATGATGGGTACAAATTACATATCGGGGGTTACGAGGGAGACGCCGGTGATGGAATCATTAAACATAACAATAAAAAATTCTCCACTCGAGATGTTGATAATGATCAAGTTGTGAAAGAATTTGGTGGAAGTTGCGCAAAGAGATTCCACGCAGCATGGTGGTTTTATAAGTGCTTACAGAGCAATTTAAATGGAAAATATTATAGAAATGGGAAAATTGACGATAAAAAATATGATGGTGTAACATGGAAACCCTGGACTGGCACAAACTATTCACTTAAACACGTGGAGATGAAAATAAGACCGAATTTAGAGCGCAAAGTTACATAAGGTGGATTTTTGAATGAAAATATAACAGACCATTTAGGGGGTTGTCCAAATAAACAACACAGGATGAAGCATGTACAGATCCCCTGGGAATGACATTCAGTGAAAATACAAACAGACGAATTAGAGTACATATAAATGTGCATAAAATAGAACGTAAATGAGTTGATACTTGGAGGCATCCAAACAATTGCGTCACAAGCCTCAAAGCAGCGAGGTATTGATTCCAACCAAGTACAAAAATCGAAGAAAAAACATTTTGCCAAAATTACACAATTTCCTTCTTTTTCATCATGTTTTTACACTCCAAACTTTGAACGAACTCACTGTTATACTCGGGTGTTTTTATTTTAATAACTACTCATGAGAGAGGCTATTTGAAACTGTAACTCACATCAAAACGCTACACTACCTGTTTAGATTTAGATAATTATTTTTTCTTAAAAAATCTTCATAAAGACAAGTTAGAAATAATTTTATGTTGTAACCATCTCAAGATGGGTTCAACAAGATCAATGGCCATTTTGATTTTACATTGAATATCTCTTGTAACCGGGACTCTTGCGTCCTGTTGTGGCGCCAATGCATGATGTCCTTCAGGAGTATCATGCAACAATATATTTAAAAAGTGGTATAAATCAGATTAGGTTCTTCAAAATTCCAAGATAAACTTTTGGAAAATTTGTAATCACAAAACTTTACTAAAATAAATAATACCAAAACCAACGTCTTATCAACTCTTTATGCAGCCATTATCAACAATAAATAAAGTCCAGGCTTTTTGACTTCTGCTTTTTCAATAAAAACGGAATTCTAAATTAACTTGTCCTTGGTTATTCGCAAAATTATTTTGTAAAACCAATCTAGCTTACTGTGCACACATATACTCTGAAGTTGATATTTGAAGATGCTTCAGTTTCTGATTGCCAATATTTATGTGTTTTTTGGAGACAAAGTCTTCAAAACCATCTTTTGGAATTCAAAAGGGTGCCACTTGCAATCTGTTATTAGCAGACATAGTTTTGTATTCATATGAAGTTTAATTTATTTAAATTCCTAAACATGGGAAGAAGAAAACATTTGGTGTGGCCTTCAATAAAATATATGGAGATAACGAACAGTAAAAAAGCTCCAAAGTCCATTTAACAATACAAAATTGGACCAGAGCAAACATGGGCCACCAAAAAATCAGAGGTGGATGAGGTGCCTTGGAGGAGTGAGCATCCCTTGCTGACCGGTCACACCGCTCCTTGTCAAGATCGGATAATAACGGGGAAATCTGAACTTACGAAATGCTTTTAAACGATACTTCTGATGTTCTTGATTTTTTGCAATTTGTCATTAATTTACCTCGTTTTAAAAATTGTTCGTACGTAGAACATACTCTTGTGATCAAATCAACTGAGAGTAAAGCTTGGTTAGTTAGATAACCATTAACGTCTTTTTCATGTAAAATATCAAAAGATGAAACAAGTGTATCAGACTCCATGGTATCTTTTATTTCAAGCTCACCGGAATATAGCATACAGACATAAGAATGGAAATAACCATTGTCAATTGACAAAACGTCTTCGATATACCTAAAATTCTATATGTCGAGGTGAAGGCCACAGAGGTGCATTTTTTTGTTTTCAACATTTAGATATACTGATGAAGAAGTATTTATTAACAATAGTTTTTTCCATTCATATGTTGACACGATATATCACAGCGAGCTTCAAATAAAAGGTATCACAGAGTCTAACACATTTATATGTACAAGTATTGTTATTTGATATCTGTATGTGACCTAGTATACAAGGAGAGGGTGTTCATAGGCCTTGCCTTTTGCCCAATCCTTATTGTATTATTTAATAAAATATGTTTTTATATAAGTAAAGTAACACATTTATTTCAGATTTAGATATTCTACTAGAAAAACACGTAATTGATAACCTAACAACAAAAACTTTATGATAAATCTCATGATTTTAACTTTTCAATTGTTAACCTATCTCATGTACCATGTGTAGCAATATGCCTCTTTACCTGTTTATGGAGTTTATATCTCTCAGTTTATATTTCTCTTCAGAAACGTATGAGCAATTTCTCAAACAAGATAAGTTATTGACGAACAAGTTGATGACACAAGAATACCAACGTAACAGTCTCGTTTAAAGTCAATTCGTAAGTTCCAGGGATGATACAATGGCCTTGACAGCAAATACAATTATCTTTAAGTCAAATATGACGTTTTTCATATTTATTTACGTACTGATATTTTGTCAACAGATTTTCCCGATATTTCCTGATCATGACAATGAGCACATGCTGGGTGTGACCGGTCACTAGGGTATGCTCACCCCTCCATGGCATCTGATCCCATCTCTAATATTTTAGAGGTACATGTTTGCTCTGCTCCTTATTTGTATTGTTTGAATGGACTTTTGAGCTTAAATACTGTACGTAAAATCCATATATTTCATGCAGTAGAATTTGTTGAAGGACGTTTTACTGTGGGATCAAGTAAGCTGCAGGTCTTAATATACTATGTATAGGTAGCTTATTACTAATACATGTGATTATCCTAGAGATTCACTGATAATCATCCTAGGTGATTTAGGAGTTCTACTGGATGAAATCTGCCACTAGTTTCTGTAGTATCCAATCCTTGAAAATGTTGAAATTGATGCATGAAAAATATGGGGAGACGCACTCTGATCTTCCCTAAGTGAGATGGAATTATTGTCCCCCGCTTGAAAAGTGGGGGATATTAATTTGGGTTTGTCCGTCCGTCCGTCCGTCTTTCTGTCTGTCTGTAACGCTTTCGTTTCCACACGATATCTCGAGAACCCTTTGAGCTTTTTCAATGAAATTTAGCATAGCAACTCCCTATGGACTAAAGGAGAACCCTATTGATTTTGAGGGTCAAAAAGTCAAAGGTCAAGGTTATAAATAAGCAAATTCTGTCTGTTATAACACTTTTGTTTTCCACACGATATCTCTAGAACCATTTGAGCTATTGCAATTAAATTTTACGTAACAATTTTTTACTCCCTGTGGCCTAATGAAGACCCCTATTGATTTTGAGCTTATGCAATGTAATTATATACGAAAACTCCCTAGGACCTCTCTCCCCCCAATCAAAGTGCCCCGCCCCGTTTGTTTTATTAGTATTTATAGTATTACATGTCGCTATTTTTAGCACAGGGGCATGAGGAGAGTTATTGCGTATAAAACAGGTTCTCGGCGGACTTCATATTCTTATTACATCTATTAGAACTGTTTAATAAAGGCTAAATAAATCAAACACCATGGTTTGTGTAAAATTTTGAGAATACAGAACATGAATATATACATGTATGTGACTTCAGTTCTGCATATACTTGAATTCAATTAAAGTGATTCCGTGGTCTAGTGGTATGTCTATTGCTTCACATGCGAGAGGTCCCGGGATCGAATCTCAGACGGTCCTTTTTTTTTTTTTTTAAATACTTTTTTTTTTTTTACTAAATGATAGTATTCTATGGAATGCCATATACGACAGCCAACTGCTTACTGCCAACTGCTGACTGCTTACTGCCAACTGTCAGCTGCTTACTGCCAACTGCCACACATATTTGAATAAATTTTATTTTTATATTAATATTTATGTGAATTTTCAAAAAAAAAAAAAAAAAAAAACAGGCGCGGATCTGGAACATTTTTTCCAAGAGGGTCACTCATGTTAAAAAAATATCCAACCCAGATATTTCTTGACAAGAAAAAAACGTAAACTTAAGTCCTTTCCTTAATGTGAAAATTTATTTCGGCGGGGAGAGGGGGTTCTCATGCATCATACCTTCATGTCTACGACATTTTTTATACCAACTTAACACGAAACCGCGTTTTGGGGGGGAAGTGGGGGGGGGGGGGTGGTAAAAACAAAGAGATATAAATTATAAATGTTTGATCGGCGTTTTCTACGTGGAGGGTCCAAGATCAGTTTTAGTTCGTTTAGTTTATACATTAACCCATGACTGTACAAATTTTAAATGCCCCACCCCCACCCCCAAGATATTTGCATGTGAAACATTATGATACACAGAGATATACATCTTTAAGTTGAGGAAATTTTTAGCTGTAGAATATAATGGAAAATATAAACTTATTTTAAAAACATCTTTCCCTGCAAAACAACGATTTTTTTCCCCTTTTTCTCTCTTCAAAGGTTTTGTTGTCTCCGGGGGTTGAGGGAGGGTGTACTTCTTTAAAGATTAAAAGCAGAAAATAGTCATTTTATTACCTATTTCAAATAAGAAAACAAATAAAAAATGTACTTTATCAATCTCATATATTGAATAAATATTAAATAGGATAAACATATTGGTCATTTAATCAATCTAATTTTACCAGGGTGACCCTCTTGGAAAAAATATCCTGGATTCGCGCCTGTTTTTTGTTTGTTTGTTTGTTTGTTTGTTTGTTTTTTTTTGTTGTTTTTTTTTTAAATTCACATAAATACCAATATAAAAATAAAAATTATTCAGATATGTGTGACAGTTAGCAGTAAGCTGCTG